AACCAGTCCTTCCTGTGCCTGTAGCTGTCAGGACAACAAGGCCTGTTGTGGCCGTCTCATTCGGTTTAGGGAAAGAACAGGTTTTAATTATCCTGAGAAAAAGACGAGAGTTTGATACGGGATCATTCCGTCAGACCTCCCACATTTCTGCAGAAAGAGAGACACAGATATCAATGTTTTATTCTTTGAAAGATAAAGGTTCCAAAAAGGGGTTTATCAGTGATGCCATAGAAGAACAATTTTTGGTTCCTCAAATAACTTTTCAGTTAATGTGAAGAACATTTAAAAAGCTAAATAACCTTTTTCTGCTATAAAGAACCTTGAAAGGTTCTATGGATGTTAAAGGTTCTTCATGGAGCCGTCGATGCCAATAAAGAACTTTAATTTTTAAGAGTGTACATAGCCCTGCATAGCCGATTGGCATAAAATCTGAAACAGTTCACAGCTTCATTTTGGCTAAGAACCGCCCATTTAGACAGGAAAAAATCTATCTGACCAACATGAGAACAACAACAGTTTTATTTTATGTGGCGTTTGGGGGCGACTGAATCTGAAACTGTAAACATGATTTTTTTTTAAAGTTGTAAAAACAGATTATTGGAGCAAAAGAAAGTACTAGTTCAGTCTTTCTACTTCAAAATGTCATGTTTAATTCAATGTTGCTTTGTAATTAATTGTGAAATTTACTAGCAATTTCTGAGGGAAAATATTTCAAGTAAATCCTACACCCATTTTTTTTGTCTAATTACTACAATAATCATGGACAAATCATTGAAGCAATTACACAACAGCATAATTGTAGTATTTGGAAAATTATGTACATCTTTTGTGCAGAGTCTCATAAAAATAAACCCCAAAAAACTTTGTCAACAGTTCTTAAAACAACCTTTTTTTTTGTGTTTGTGTTAAGAACATTTTTATAATCTAAAGAACCTTATTACACAACAAAGAATCGCTTGTGCAATGGGAGGGCTCCATGGATGTTAATGCCAATAAAGAACCTGTATTTTTAAGTGTGAAGAACTTTGAAATGTTAAAAGGTTTTTTATTGGAATCAATGGTTTCCATGGGAAAACCTTACACTAAGAAAGAAAATGGTTCTTTTAAGAACTGTTCACTGAAAGGTTCTTTGGGGAACCAAAAATGGTTCTTCTATGGCATCGCTGCAAAACCCCTTTTTGGAACCTTTATTTTTATGAGTACCATCTGAGGCTGACACTAGTGTGCATACATAGTCCTTACCTTGGTTTCTTCTTCTTTTCTCTCTTTCTTCTAGGACTGTCTGAAGTCATGTCAAGAGCAGATCGAGCAGTTACTGACCAACAGCCTGAAAGAAAGTCAACAACGGCATCAACAGCAACAGGAGGGCAGAGCCAGCAACAAAGGGACGCAATCTCAAAACCTGTCCTGCACCCCTACAGATGTCCGTGATGTCAACTTATGATGTCAGTTCCTGTTCCTATCCACCTCCTCAGCCTAGAGAGGATTCAGTTATTATTGTTACTGTATTTAAGTTTAATTGCAAAGCCACATTAGATGGTCATATGCGCATAACACAAGCTTGATGTTTTATAACGGAGCGAAACAGCTGCTGCTGCCGTCTCATATCCGCAGGCGGTGGCGTTTTACATACTTGAATTTAATCAAATTGGCCTCAAACCATGATTAAATAATGCAGTATGTTGTATATTACTTAACAAAGAGCATACATCTGTCTTGGCTATCATATGCAACTGTTATAATTATTATTATAATTTATGTGGTTATTTAATAATTATAATAATGATACCTATTATTGTTAAAAATATGATGCTTTTCATCTTACAAAATGTATTTGCTTAGTAATTCCCAGAGGCCATTTTTTAAATATCATATAGGATGCATGTGATCCCACGAAAATGCTATTCTACAGATTGGATAGAAACGTCCATCAGTCCTTTCAGAGGGATCTGTTTGCTTATCATAGAGATATTAATACAATGATCTGATGAGTTACTTCTCAGGTATAAGTAACTCTCATTATAGGATTATTTACAGTGAATGTTATTGCATGAAATAAGCATAAATGAATATGATAAACGGTTTCTATCCATGCATGGTGACCACCACAGCTTCATGAGCTCGCAGGACAGTTTCAGATGGACACTAAGCATGTAGCAAAGGTGGAGTAAAGGTGAGGTAGGGAAGGAAGGAAAGAGGCGAATCGAAGAATACAGATTGAAAGATTTTGCACGTGATTGAAATATGAACGGTTTTAGACAGGTGGTTTCTGGAACGCTCTATAATGTTTGTACTGAATGAGCGTGATGCTGTTTGCTCATTTGATCTGTTTGAACACCATCACTTAAGGGTCAGGGACACTCGCAACGCTGGAGAGATTTAATCTTTTGGGAGTCTTGAAATCCTTCTTAGCAAAGACATGATACAAATGCACTTTCAGATATCACCTCTCGCTGGTTATCCGTGGTATACAAGAGGAGGGCGAATCATTTCTAAGGGTTTTTTTGTTTTTGCATTGTTTTTCTTAAGTTATTTTTGTTTTGGGGCTGGTTTCCCATATTAGGTGTGCTTGCGGGTTATAGTTTTAAATTTAGACCAATAAATTTAGACCAAAAACTGATCTAACAGTCAACTGCCAATAGAAATGGTGAGGTTTGGCATGCCAAGATTGGTAGCGTTTTACTTTAGTTGTGTGGAATTCATGTCAGCATAGATAGGACAACATCAAATTTCATTAAATCACTTTATTTTATTTTCTCAAAATATCAGTCATCTACTTGAACTTTTTTCATATATAGGAAAAAGATATTTTGAAACATGCCATTTTCTTTTCTCTTTCCTCCTTAGTTTGTTCTTGCACTTTTGAAAATTGATTTCTTAAGTCAGTTATCTTATTATCAGTGGACCTAAAAGTAACTTAGAGGTGTGAGATGTTTGAGACGTTTACTTCAAATATATTACGTGTTGTGCTGACACAAATGTGCCATTCCAACACATCTATGCAAAATAAACTCCGTTATGAGTGTTTTTCAAACAATGTTCATTTCATTGTGCACCCATGTTCACACATTTAAGTTTTGAGTGAGTTTGTGTACTATTATATCCTTAAGTTAATTTTGTGTTCTTCCCATTCCTTTATTTCTGTGTAAATGTTTGAAATTGTGAGTGCTGCTAACATGCCATTTTCTTTTCTCTTTCCTCCTTAGTTTGTTCTTGCACTTTTGAAAATTGATTTCTTAAGTCAGTTATCTTATTATCAGTGGACCTAAAAGTAACTTAGAGGTGTGAGATGTTTGAGACGTTTACTTCAAATATATTACGTGTTGTGCTGACACAAATGTGCCATTCCAACACATCTATGCAAAATAAACTCCGTTATGAGTGTTTTTCAAACAATGTTCATTTTCATTGTGCACCCATTTTCACACATTTAAGTTTTGAGTGAGTTTGTGTGCTATTATATCCTTAAGTTAATTTTGTGTTCTTCCCATTCCTTTATTTCTGTGTAAATGTTTGAACTTGTGTTCCAGTGCTGCTAAAAGAAAAAGAAAAATGAAAAAAGAGCTATTGCATATCTTAATTTCGGTTTCCATGTTGCTGCTATATCAGAATTATCTAACGTGTTTTCATGGTGGCTGCATTTCTGTTTTCTGTTTGCATTTACACTGTCAATTATTTTCACGCATGAAGTGCCTTGGAGGTTACTTGCAGATATTTGCATGAACAGTCTCGCCTCATTTGTGCTTAATGTCATCTAACTTGACTGTTGTCTGACTTCTTCTTCTAGCTATTACTTTACTTTGTGATATGAAACGCCTTTTTTGTTTTCAAATAATGTTCCTGCCCACAGTCACAATACCTCACAGTACTTCAGTCAGAAGTTTATAGAAGATTAGTAGGATTAAAAAGAGGCGTTGAAGCTCCTCAACTAGTTAGTTAACCTACAGGTTAAGCCTCCAGGTTTGTTCTTTTAGTAGCTTGTCAGATACACTCACCAAACAGCTATAAATGTATTGTCTTACCAGGTGGTAGATGTAAGACTGGGGCAATGCATCGTTTAGATACAAAATATTGTTTTTAATTTGGTTTTAATTATATTGAAGCAGCCACCCTTTGTTCCACCTAAACACCCAAAATATCAGCAATACCCTCATTTTTGGTTTTGCCCTAGGACACTTACCTCATTTGGACCTATCAGACATTCAATTAAATAAATCTCAAATTGAAAAATAAAAACGGTGTTAAGTTTTTTTCTTCTTCCGGAAATGAATGACGCTCTTAATGTGAATTAGACCTAACGTTCTTTTGACACAGCTATGGTCTTAAGCAAGAGGCTTTACTCTTCAACTCAAAAGTTAGTTATTCTCAAATGGGTTAGTTGGGTTAAACAGCTTATTGCTGACCTCTGGTGCTTAGAAGATGGGTTGCAGGGAGTTTGTGGCATATCAGAGAGCCTCAAACATGTAATTATTTATATCGTATATTAAATGATGATTACATTAAAAAAAAAATTATTTTAAACAACATATGATTTATTTAATTTATGCAAATAAATCCAGTTGCACCTTTATGCCAATTTTAAGGGTCCATACATACAATTTTTTTTCGATCATCTCAATCATCACGAAATGAATAAAAATTCACGTCTACATGTCGGGGAAAGCCATTAAGCATAATACGTAATATCATTTTCTTAGTTTAGGGATGTATAGCCTACATGGTGCCTGTGTAATGGTACATGAAAAGAGCACATGAGAGACTTTTATTTTGAAACGCCATTCTACAGTAATTTATTTGCCGCTCCATTCACTCTGTTAATGTTCTTTAGCGTTTCTGCCTTCACACCACCTATTTTACCGCGTTCATGGAGGACTGATGCAGAGGAAGTATGTATCAAATCACGTTTTAAATGAATTTGTGTAGAGTTTAGAAGCTTTTTACCCCTAAAAACCAATCTATTCTTTCGTGTTTTATTAATTGTCGTGCGAGTTCTCCAGCTGTCTCAGTGTAGAGGTTGCTATGCAAGTGTTTCTCAAGTGCACTTTGCATGAAAGCCTCATATAACGTTAGTATAACGTTAACTGAACATTACAGCTGGCTAACATGGATTATAATACTAATAAGCTGACAAAGTGACAACTGAGTATGGTATAGTTTTATTCTCTTTAGACACAAAAGCTTTGCAGTCTTATTGGAGCCATTCGCATTCTTTAGAATCCTTTATGTGGCTGCTGATATTGTCTGCTTATACTTTGTTTTATTATGAAAGCGTATGGTTTGGTAGAGGATAAAGTGCAGATATGACACCATCAAAGGAAGGCATGACCTCCCTCATCGACAAGACCATAAAGCTGAGGAGGGAGGAACAGGCACGGCAGGTTGTCCTGGCATGGGCCGTGTTGAATATGTCTCTGGCTGGGATGATCTATACTGAGATGTGAGTTCAGACATGCCCCTAATAATCCCTAATGTGATTGTAGTGTCTTCTGAACCACGGGTAACCAAGTCACCTTGTCTTTTAGGTCTGGGAAGCTTCTTAGCAGATACTACAACATAACCTACTGGCCGATCTGGTATATTGGTAAGTGTATAATAAGAGCTCAAAGCGTGTCAGTGATCTACTAGGTTGCTTTTCATCTGACTGGTTTTGTTGAACAGAGCTTGCCCTGGCTTCCCTGTTCAGTCTCAATGCGCTTTTTGACTTCTGGAAGTATTTCAAGTACACTATGGCCCCATCCACGATCACCGTCAGTCCAGGACAACATCAACTTCTTGGGCTCAAGGGCTCAGGTGAGTTAGTTCACCTGGAATGAAGTATTTTGGGTAAAAACAATCATGCACAATGCTATTCCTCAGGCAAAGACAATTTTGGCATACATTATTGTGTTATTTTACTCAAAAATGTGACGTATGGTTATAAAAGTAATCAATAGACTGATCAGTATGATGATTATTCCAATACTGGGTGTCTTAATATAGTCCAGGTGATGTTCACTTTTTCATAAAAGCATGAAACTTGGTACACTTGTATAGTTTACAGCCCTAAACATTTTCAGAAATGGAGCCATCGCAAAAACACCTTGTGGTTGCCATGGCGACCATTTTACCTTCCGCCATAACCAAATTATGTATTTTGTGTCATATCTCCTGAACCAAATATGATAACACAAAAGGTGATGTCTACCCCATGTTTTGATGGTCAAGGATTACAATGATACCATATACATATAATGTGAGAAGGAAAGAACAGTATCTGAGCATCACAGCATTTACAAAAGTCCATGTTATGGCTATAATTTTTTTCTTTCTTTTATACTTAACTAATATTTTCTTAAATAATACATTAAAAGATTGTTTTGTGAGCAGTGAACACACACAAACCGTGAACACACACCCCGGAGCAGTGGGCAGCCATTTATGCTGCGGCGCCTGGGGAGCAGTTCGGGGTTCGGTGCCTTGCTCAAGGGCACCTCAGTCGTGGTATTGAAGGTGGGAGAGAGCGCTGTACATTCACTCCCCCCACCTACAATCCCTGCCGGTACGAGACTCGAACCCGCAACCTTTGGGTTACATTTTTCGCAAGGGTACCATCTGACAAGTTATTTTAATGTGAAATCAAAAGACATAACTCAGCTCCACTCTACAAAATAACACAAACCACCTGCATTCAACATGTCTTCAAAGAAATGAGCACCAGCTGAGGAACGCAGATTTGAAAGCAACATCCCTGAAGAAACTTCTGCTCTTTTCTTCTTTAACAGTTAAGCTATTTTAATCTTGGATATCAAAGGTGCTTTTCAAAGGTGTGCCATTCAGTCAAATGACTGAAGTGTGTAATTTCTGTACCACTATTTGTTTATTTCAGTGCCCAGCTGTGGGTTTTACTACCTGTTTGTCCCAAAGAAGACAGGGGAGTATTTAGTACTTAAAACCTGTTTGAAAAACTGCTTGATGACGCTAGTGGTGCAGAAATTGCACACTTTATCAGTTTTGCGTGAACGGCACATGTCTGAAGACAAGACCAGTAAGACTCTGACACCCAACTTCCCTGATACAAATAGCTTAGAACCAGCAAAACTTGAAATTCACATTAGGCACGACTGTTATGACTACGTGGACATTACACTATATCACCCAAGGTAATGTAGGTTGTCAGTCTAGACTTAAATATAGAAAGAGGAAAATATGAACATGACGTGACGTGACATGTGGCCAAGTATGGTGACCCATACTTGGAATTAGTGCTCTGCATTTATCCCATCCAAAGTGCACACACACAGCAGTGAACACACACACACCGTGAACACACACCCGGAGCAGTGGGCAGCCATTTATGCTGCGGCGCCTGGGGAGCAGTTCGGGGTTCGGTGCCTTGCTCAAGGGCACCTCAGTCGTGGTATTGAAGGTGGGAGAGAGCGCTGTACATTCACTCCCCCCACCTACAATCCCTGCCGGTACGAGACTCGAACCCGCAACCTTTGGGTTATGAGTCTGACTCTCTAACCATTAGGCCATGACTTCCCCAAACACCTACACGCAGGTGAATCGCTGATATTTGGTGTAACGGGTGGAATAATATTTATGTGTAGGGTGTGGTGCTGGTGCAGGCCGGACGTTGACAAGCACGGGCGGGTTGGGGGTCCAATAACCAAGACTATTTTGACTCGGTCCAGTACACGCTGAGCAATGTAGCCAATCGCGCTGCCACTGATTGACAGCTGTAGTGGTTATATTAAAGGTAGCGCTCTTTGCTTGCTTTCTGTATTTAATCTGTTTACAATTTGAATAAAAGTTTTAATAAATGAATGAGTTTTGTCTACCTCATGTAGGAGATTTAATGCAGGTGTGTTTCGAGTCCCAGTTTTTATGTCAAATGGGTCGGGTATGGGATTAAATTAGTGTTGCTGTCAGATAGTGTGTTTGGTGTTCTGTTAATTACTACGATTGTGGGAAGATCATTTCACCAGCCAGGAAAAGTGAACAAAAATGCCTTTCTGTGATGTTACCACGAGGCATCGCTTACTTACAGATCTCAGGCTTCTGGAAGGAATGTAGATTTGTAAGAGTGAGGAGGAAGTAGGAGGGTGGCTTTTGGGCTCATGGAAGAGTAGTCGTGCCGCTGCATTCTGAATCATTTGTCGAGGTTTGATTACCAATGATGGAAGTTCAGCCAGAAGAGCACTGCAATAGTCCAGCCTAGAAATGACAAGGGCCTGGGCAAGAAGATGTGCAGCATGCTCTGTTTGGAAGGGCCTGATCCTCCTGATGTTGCGCAATGCAAACCTGCATGATCGAGCTGTCTTTACAATATGGTCCTTAAAGGTCAGCTGGTCACCAAAGAATAATTTTTGATGAACCTAGCAGGATGATGAAATCATGCTGTAGAGTCGGAGTGGCAGGGAAAACGAGATACTCAGTCTTTGCCAGGTTGAGTTGCAGGTGATGTTCCTTCATCCATGCCGAGATGTCCATCAGGCAGCCTGAGATCCATGCAGGTACTATTGGATTGTCTGGTTGAAATGAATGATAGAGCTGTGTGTCATCAGCATAGCAATTTTAGGAGAAACCATGTGCTTGTATAATGGGACCCAGTGATGTATTGTATATGGTGAAGAGGAGGGGTCCAAGAACTGATCCCTGCGGAAACCCTGTGACCAGTTGATGTGATCTGGATACCTCTCTTCCCCAGGAAACCCTGAAAGACCTACCTGTGAGATAAGATTCAAAAGTGGAGTGCAGATCCTGTGATGGTAGACAGGAGAATCTGATGATTCACAGTGTCAAAAGTGGCAGATAGATCCAACAGAAAAAAGAACTGATGATTTGGAATCAGCTTTCGCAATCTGCAGGGCTATACTTACCGACAGTAAAGCAGTCTCAGTTGAATGGTCGCTGCTGAAACCTGATCGGTTAACATTCAGTTGGTCATTCTGTGAAAGAAGTAATGTAACTGTCTATAAAGGTGTGAACCAAATGGTCCATTCCATTAGAATAACAAAGGAACAGCATTCCCCAGGAACGTATTGTAGATTGCAGGATCTCCAGCGGGAAGGTCCTAACAGTATTGTTTCTAGCCCTTTTGTCTTCAGGTATAAAATTATTTCCCACAGACAGAATTTTGGGAGAAGCACACAAATTCAATACTTGTTTCTTACTAATTTTGGGGTGCTGATTACAAAAATAGTAGCTGTTTTGCTTGAGCATGTCGCACTTTCACACAAAAAATGATACATTTAGTAGCACTTTTACTTTCAACAACCATAAACATTAACATAAATGTAATAATATAAAATGAGTATCATAAAATTAAGTTTATATAGATGTGTATATATAAATATGTATGTATGTATATAAACTAATCAGGTTTGCTTTAAAAATATGCTGTGTTCACAGGGATTCAAGCCTCTCCACCTCAGAAACAAGAAAAGAAGGAAGCTCCAGTCTCAGTGCAGTCGTCTCCCCTGCAGGGACAGAATGTTCTCAGTTTCAGCCCTGCGCGACCCTCAAGCGCCAGCCCCAAGTTTTCCCCCAGCTGTGTGTCTGGGTTCAGTCCACCTCTGAGCAGCCCTTCTTCAGCAGGAGGACCCTTCTCACCCTCCATGGCATTTGGCAAGGTTGAGTACTTTGAAATGCTGAAATGAAATTGTATTTTTGATATTTCATTCTGTTCACACACCCACTGCTTTTTACGTCTGCAGGTGTTGAACTATAGTCCATCTCCAAGTTCTTCTCCGTACCCAAGCAACCTCGGACCGGCAGAAGGCACCAGTCTCCGCGCTCGGTACCGCACATCCCCGTCAGTCTTTAATTCACCCGGAGGTAAGGAGGACTACATCGATGACCTGAAGACTTTGGAGAAGTTTTTACGTACAGAGGAGGAGAAAAGCCACCGCAGTCAATTGGGTAAAAGTCCTGCTTGGACATCAAGGTGTGAATCAAATTGTAGCTGTGCTAAGCAGAGGCCTATAACATTTTCTTTGCAATCTTTCCTTATTTAGGGAGTCCAGAGTCAACTTCTCCAAGACACAGTCCTTCGTTCTGGAACTACAGTCGTTCAGTGGGAGATTACGCACAGAGCCTGAGGAAGTTTCAGTATCAGCCGGCCTGCCGTTCACAGGCACCATCTGCCCATAAAGACGACACAGAGCTGGGCTCTAAACAAGCTGCTGAAGAGGTGAGGATCAAATTAATAGCAAGATTTCAAATCATCTTTAGTAAAGAGAAAGAGAGCTCAGTAAAGAGATTTTCCAATTTATTACAGGTCTGGGCAAGAATCACAACGAGTCGTGTGGTGACGGATAGTATCGACAGCTGGACTGCAAAACTGAGAAATGTGAGTCCATTACTTGTTTTTTTTGTGTGTATGTATTTAGATAATAATAATAAGAATAAATTGTATTTTTAGGTAGTTTAGTATTTACGTATTCTTTATTAAGTAATAATAGTAATAAAGTAAATAGTAAGTTTTTATTAAATAGTATTAATAACATTTTTTTTTTGCTTATTTAGTATTTAATTGTTTATTCTTTCTTAATTTACTCTTTATTATTAAATTAACAATAATAATTTAATTATTATTATATTATTGTATTAAATTCGATTGTTATTATACATTGTTTATTTTATTATTATTTTATATTAATTAATATTTTCATTTAGTATTAAATTATTTATTCTTTAACTATTTAATAATAAAAATATAGAATTAAATAATATGTATTTAATTATCATTATTAATGTTATTATTCATTTAATTTTTAAATTTAATTGAATATTTATTTTAAGACAATGTCAATCTCTTTCACTTTACTATTCTAGTGGATCAATGACACCATTCTAGTTCATGTGGTCAGAGAGATCGACTCAGTCAACAGTCAGCTCAGGAGGATGGGTTGCCCTGAGCTCCAGATCGGAGGTAATCATCTTTTTTGCCAAAGATATTTATTTAGATGTGAAAGTTTTCATTATGTCTCAATTCTGTTGCCCTTGTTTCATCAAGAGGCCAGCATCAGCAGTCTCAAACAAGCTGCTGTGGTCAAAGCTTCTGCAATCCCCACCCTCAATGCTATCGTACAGTATCTAGATGTCACACCAAACCAGGAGTACCTCATGGAGAGAATCAAGGGTGAGCAGAATACACAGCTGGGATTAAGCATAATAAATATTTAGACTTACCATGGTCCTATTATATCATGAACAGAGATGATGCTACTGTGTGTTCGTTTGTATCTCTTGCAGAATTAGCCCACAGTGGCTGCATGAGCTCTTTCCGCTGGAATGGAGGAGGAGATCTCAAAAACCGGAAATGGGACACAGACCTTCCGACAGACTCTGCGGTGTGTTTGCAACATTTTGATGCCATACTACCAATGCATTGCAGTTTAGAGGAGATCATTACAAATATTATTGATGCATTGCATTTATGTTTGCTCTACACTTTATGACAAACACAGATCCTGATGCATGTGCTGTGTACATACCTGGACTCCCGGCTCCCTCCACATCCTAAGTATCCCGACGGAAAAACCTTTACGTCCCAGCATTTTATACTGACACCAGATAAACCAGGTATACAGAGACAATGGGTTGCAATACCAGTGTTATTTTAGCATATTATAGTTTTTATTAATTTTTTTTTTTTTTGTTGCATGCTTTTGCAATTCTTATTACTTTTTGTTGATTTTTAAATGTTTATGTAGTGTTTATTATTTTTTATTTGTTAAATCAAGCTAAACTAAATGAAAATGTGGAGTTTTACCTTGGCAACTACTGTGTGTATATTATTTTATTAATGTTTTAATTAACTATAACCCTTTTTTATACAGCCTGTTTAATCTATGACTCTGGCATTTTATGTGTGAATTTCTAACAGACGTGTCCAATGAGAACCTGTTTTGCATTCATCAAAGTAGCACAAACCCTCCTCATTATCAGCTTGTCTACCAGGGCCACATCTACAGCTTGCCTAAGGTAAGGACATACTCTCCAACTATAATTACAGTGAAGTAACTTTTCTGTGACTCATGCTTAATTGTGTTTCCACAGGGCAGAAATAACTTGTTTCATACCATCCTGATGTTCCTCTACATTATCAAAACCAAGGAGTCTGGCATGCTGGGGTGAGTGTAGATTTATCATGTTATCTGTGATTTGGTTGGTTTTAACCTCTTGAGACCCAGCAAAACATTTTGGGAAAAAATTAGTATTTTTTCATGTCATTACATTGTTTGGAGCAGTAAAAAAAATGTAAAAATTATATGTCATTCATAAGTTATGCTACGTCCTTGGTAGAGGACATCGCCACTCAATTTGTAAAAAAAAAATAAAAAGACATGAATGAACATGCATAGGCAAAAACAATTGATTTTTTTTTTTTTAATCACCAATACATTTTTAGTTTTCAGGATTTTTTTTTTTTTACCAAACTTTGTATAAAAATAATTCTCAACTATGTTATAACAGAATGATTTGATATACCATTTTTCTTCATAATGTATCTATAAACTAAATCTAATTTTGGCAAAAACAATTTATTTTTTTTTTTTTAATCACCAATACATTTTTAGTTTTCAGGATTTTTTTTTTTTTACCAAACTTTGTATAAAAATAATTCTCAACTATGTTATAACAGAATGATTTGATATACCATTTTTCTTCATAATGTATCTATAAACTAAATCTAATTTTTGTCTCAGAGAAATTCACTAAAATAGAATGTCCTCATATGAGGATGCAGGGTTAAGGAATTTTGTTGCTAGAAGAGCTGTTTCTATTTTTGGTTTGCTCTTTGGATCTTGAAAGTATTTGTTATGTTGAAGTACAAAATAGATGAAACCTTTTCCCCCCATTTTTTGTACCAGGAGAGTGAATCTGGGTCTTTCAGGAGTGAATGTACTCTGGATCTTCGGGGACTGAGATGTCATGTTATCAGAGGAAAACACTGCACAAGCCTTGGGATGTGATAGACTGATTTTTTTTACCTTTACATTCTTATGATGCTGCATGTTTTTGAGATGCATTGTACTGTCGCATTACTTGCAACCTTAATGCAAATACAGACAAAGTCATTTTAGCTGAGGAAAATGTTTTAAATTTCAACACTGAGCGATTTATGACTTGAAACGGTGTCAAAATGGATCTTGTTCCACTGGTTTTTGTATACAATTTTTTTTTGTATTTATCATACAAGAAAAACAATGTAGTTATACATGAATGTAAATTCTTTATGGTTAGTTTGGATGGGTGGACACTGCAGGGGTTATGATTTTTTTTTTATCAATTACGAAGCTGTTACTGGTAGTTTTTCTTCATGCACTTGTAATGACATGCAACTATGAACAAGCATAAGTCATATTTACTTTTTAAACAATTTGGTGTAATAATGTTTACTTGCTCTCAGTGACGGGCTTTACTTATTTCTCCTCACTGTTATTTTGACAATATACAGAAGAGCTGGGATGACTGATGATCCCGATCTTGAATGCCAAATTACATATTCGACAAGAAATGTTGATGTTGTTTGTATTTTATACTGTGTCTGAAGTGAAACTTGAAATGGAATGAGCTTCCACTTTTGTCTGTTGGTTTTCAAATTAATAAATTCCCAGCATTGTTTTTTACTCAAAAGTCTTGAACTCTATTCCCAGTGTTAACCACTGGATGGTAGTGCTGCACACCAACAAATGGTTATAAACGGTAAGAATATACATGTTTTATTTTTTAATAATAGCTTCTATAGCAGCTTCGCTGGAACTACAACTTAAATTTCCTAGAATGCTAATTTGAAATTGACTTGTTTAAGCACAAGGTCTGAGAGAATATAAGAAATCTTTAATATTTTACAGTGGTTAAACTGAATAAAAGCATGGTAGGGGCCATGCTATTTCTTGAAGTACCTTGTAAATACGTATGGTAAGTATTCGGTACTATGGTATTACCATCTGTTGCGATTGCTGTACATTACTTTTTGTGAAGTTATAGTTGACAGTGTTTGGTATAAAAAAAAAAAAACTAATAAAACGTAATACTTGAAAGATGTCAGTTACATTTAAGAAGTCTGAATTAATGGGGAAAAAATATTTACATTATTAATACTACCGTTTGCTATTGTTTACCATGCGTAACATGATACGTAATAGACGCTCTGGTAACGTGAACTGCATGTCCCATGATGCTTTGCGCCGCGCGTCACCCCACCGTGCGTATCCGTTCGTGTGTCGGTTCTCTCTGTGTTGGAAAAAAGCACCGTGCGGTTCGCAGCGATGTCAGTCCAGGCTGTTGCAGCGAAAATGGCCGAGGTCGAATTAAAAGACGTGGCCGGTAAAGACGCTTCCCCCGCCATATCTCCGCTGACACCAAAGGCAGAGGAGAAGAAGAGTGAAAATAACTCGAGTTCGTCGTCAGCAGCGGTGGCCGCGGCGGTGGAGCCGAGCCCGGTGACCGCCGCTCCGAACCCCGTGAAGATGCCGCAGGCGTCCGCGATGAAGCGGCCGGATCCGCAGCAGAACGGCGGCGAGGCGTTTGTCAACTACGACGGCACCGTGGCCGAGGCACCGCGAATGAAAAAGGTAACGTGGACTGACTGTGGTGAGATCCGTGAAATCTGTGACGGAGCTCGTTTTGAACCGTTCATCCGCTGTCGTGTGTCATTGTGCGGCGATGATTCCTGGCCTATCGAACCTTTACTAGCAGCGTTGCAGCGTTACAGCTGTAAATTCACGTCCGTTTTCCAGCAGCTGTCAGGGGATGATCGGTGACAGATCTACCGAGTGATTTCACGGGTATTTTGGTCGGATCACGTTGATTTCGAGCGCGTGAGGGATTGTTTCTAGTGATTGAAAGAGACCCGCAGTGCGTGTGTGTCGTGGCTCTGCATGCGTTTATCCGGGTCAAAACACACATTTCCAAAACAACGTGCTTGAAATTGTAACACTTTTATAATAACCTTAAACATGAATTGATGCGCTCATTACGTAATGCTTTAGATAAGCAGTTGTATGTATTTAATTAATTCTAGATTTAAGCAAGACTTAGTGTTTGATATTGATTTTAATGTTAGTTGTTAAGTAACCCAAGTGTTTTTATTTTATTTTATTAAAGTGTTTTGTAGTCCAGTGTCAATGAACAATTTGTGATGTGATCGTCAAGATAAAAAGCTATGAGAAGCCTACAAAGATTGTGATCAGTTGTGAGTTGATATTGCAGTGTTAAGATTGTTTTCATTTGTTTTGGTTGCAGTTTTTCTCTTATAGCATTATTAGCACAAGTCTATACTTCCTCTGCATGTAAGTATAAATATCTAGTTTTGCTTTTCACTTTCAAAGGGGAGAGAGGTTTTGTTTGAGTATATACAGGTCAGTTTTGTGGCATTTTAAGTTAACAGTATTGGAGTAAGGCCGGTGAAATGGTTGTGGCTGATTGTTTGGGTATTTTTCCAGTTCTGTTATGATTAGGTTGCTTTGTGTGTCCTGATTGACAATGTGGTGCCTACAAGTGCATAGGTTATTTTAGTGTTCTTGAGATACTAATATAGTTTCTATTCATTTTTTAAATTTTAATTTATTTTAAAATTTTGTTTGAATTTTAGTTAAACATTTAATAATTTTGTTTTATTAGTTTTTGTTTTAAATATGTCGATTAATTTTTATTTCAGTTTTAGTTATCAGAAGTGCTTTCTTGGCGGCTTGCTATAATAATATAAGTGTTTTTATATATATTTTATTTAAGTTAAATTCTTTTTTTTTTCAAGTGACAACAATTGTTTTATGGTCTTAGTTTTAGTTCACAATAATAACTCTGCTTCTGTGTGAACTATATCTGCTGAATATCAACAGGCTACGTTCTTTGCTGTCAAACTCTGGCCCTTTTCTGTGGACAGTTACAGATGATGAACCATAGTGGGTTTGGTGACTTGAGTATATACGGGTCAGTTTTGTGGCATTTTAAGTTAACAGTATTGGAGTAAGGCCGGTGAAATGGTTGTGGCTGATTGTTTGGGTATTTTTCCAGTTCTGTTATGATTAGGTTGCTTTGTCTGTGTGTCCTGATTGACAATGTGGTCATTTGAAGCCCTGCCTTTTGACTTTCTGAAATAAATGTAATTTCTGTTCCCTATTCAAAAGCATTGCCAGATTTTATATGAGGAAACAGACTTTGTATCGCTTGATATAACTTGAGAAATGTCACTCTTCTATTATGTGTCAGTGTGGATAACACTCTGCCTGTGAAGACTGTGACACCTCTCTGTTGTGATCTTTGTGTAACCGGGGTTAGATTAGGTACACAGTGTCTTAGGTTTGACATTTATCTGGTTGGACTGTTCCTTGGAAGGACTTAACACAGACTGTGTTCTCAGTGAATCTCTTATCAATAAAAGAATATCTGCGTTATCTTATCTTAGCTGACAAAACAAAGAATTTGTACAGTTCAAGGATAAACGTTTTTGATAAAGAAATTAACTTTTATTATTATTGTTCTTGTTAACCAAGGATTTGATGCAGAATGAGCCATAACATGACATTTGGATATGGCCTTATATATTTATTCTTTGACATAATCTTTTTTTTTTTAAGCACTAGTGCATATTTTGGTCTTGAAAAAAAAATTATATACAATTATTTTTCTTCTTATTACTATTTGAATTTTTTAATCCACATGGATATATATGTATTTTTAATTTTAGTTCTTTTAATTCTGTATTTTCTGTTTTCATTAAGAAGTAATATATATATATATATATAAGTGTTCTTGAGATACTAATATAGTTTCTATTCATTTTTTAAATTAATTTATTTAAAAATTTTGTTTTAATTTTAGTTAAACATTTAATAATTTTGTTTTATTAGTTTTTGTTTTAAATATGTCGATTAATTTTTATTTCAGTTTTAGTTATAAGAAGTGCTTTCTTGGCGGCTTGCTATAATAATATAAGTGTTTTTATATATATTTTATTTAAGTTAAATTAGTTTTTTTTTTCAAGTGACAACAATTGTTTTATGGTCTTAGTTTTAGTTCACAATAATAACTCTGCTTCTGTGTGAACTATATCTGCTGAATATCAACAGGCTACGTTCTTTGCTGTCAAACTCTGGCCCTTTTCTGTGGACAGTTACAGATGATGAACCATAGTGGGTTTGGTGACGTCCCAGAAATCCTTTTAGCACAGACACTCTTTTATACCTATCCTGAAGGTGCTGGTGCGATTCTTTCAATGCACTGTGACTTTATCTTCCCCGTTTCTAAGAAAAACTCAAGTCTTTTTAGCCACCCATAAAGCATGCTTACTGTTCCTCTGTAAAAGTGTTACATCACACCACTGTTGCTTCTGTAAAGCGGCCGAGAGGAGGGGAGGGCTGTGACATGTCCCGCAGCGGGATCTCAGATCCGGGTCTGTCCATGTCATCACGTCTCGTAGGTGCAAACAGCCTGTAGTTTGACTAAGGATTGCTGTGACCTCAGTGAACATTCACACCACTGGATCTGAGGGTGTAGAGGGGAAGCGTGCTGCTGATAGACGTGTTCACGCTGCTGTTTGGCATCAGGCATGAGCTTTGTGCATACCTTGCACTGTTGTGACGTTACGTCACTAAGCTTTGGTTCCCAGGATGCTTAGACCTGACAGGCTTATGACGTGATGCATATAATATGGGGGAAGCCCTGTGTTAGAGGTTGGTGATAATATTCAGAATAAAATAAGAAAAAGTTGTTTTTAGAGTGATATAAATGTAGGCAATTTCCCAGTTGACCTGTGCTTTTCTCAGAAAGTAGGCCTCATGTTTATCGTATATAGTCTAGTGGTCAGGATGGGGCTTGTAGCGAGCAGCTGCTGTTAGTTTCTACAGCTAAAAAGTAACAACTGTATAAGCAGGTTTGTTATTTTTAACTAAAATAAATAAATTAATTAAAAGTACTAAATGTACTAAAAATTAAAACTAATACAAATAGCAAAAACACATAACAAAATTACTAAAATTAAAGTGAAAATTGAAAACAAATATAAAAAACTAATTTAAAATATTTGTTAATATTATAATAGTATATAAATAATAACTATATAGTTATATTTTGTAACAGCAAGTTATATAATAACTATAAGTCGTGTAGACAGGGTGAGTCAATTACATTCACTTTAAAAGTGGAAATATATTAGAAACACTGCCTTGGCAGCTAACTAAATAAAGTTTAAATTAAAGTATCAAACTTATTAAAATTGAAACACAAATTGAAGCACATAACATAATTACTCAAAATGTAAACTGAAAGTATGAAAATAATAAAGGCAAATTTAAAATAATTTATAAATATTATAATAGTATAATACTAACACTGGCAGTCAGTTGTGGAGTTTGAAGTACTAAACTTACTAAAACTAAAATGAAATAAAATAATTTAAAGCTATAGAAAAAATGAACAATAACAACAAAATTGCGTAAATCAACAGATGAATGTCAGATCGACAGCCACCATTTAAACAAACTTTTTGACCTGTTGCCATGTTTTCTCCTCCATTTCTCTTTCGGGAATGCTTAGAAATTTTTGCTTTGAAATCAGGGTCAAGGAGACTTGCGGTACATACTGTGATTTTATTCGTGTCTCCATTCCAGTTTGCTCTGTACCAAG